ATATATATATATATATATATATATATATATATATATATATATATATATATATATATATATATATATATATTAAGTTTACTTTAATATTGTAGTTGATATAAATGGTGGTACCAAGGCCCCTATGTCTCCCAAATACCCACAGACAACAAGATAATAGTGACAAACTCATAACAACTTCAATTTTGGAATAGGAGAGCTTTTTAGGTCTGTTCATCAGTAATTGCAGTTTAAAAAAATTAAGAAAGAAATCTGGCACTTATTTTATAAAGTACAATCACATTCTGTGAAACAACATCCTGGATGTTCATTTTCCTTTATTTGTAATACTCAGTCAAGTTTTGTATTTAATATTGCACTGTAGTTATGATGTAGTCTCCCTCTGCACCAACAGTAGGCCAGTGAGAACATATTGTTTTATTTTTGTTGGCCCTTATTTTAGCAAAATGACAACAATCATGACACAAAAAGTTTACTTAATCCAGTGCTTACAGATCATTTCTGCATATTCATTTAAATGTATTTACCTCTCATGCAGCAAGTTCAGGACTTCCTTCCTGGTCAAGATTTTGGTTCCAGTCTTCTAGGTGATCTCGGAGAGCTAGGCGAGCTGACATGTAGCACTTCCGAGGACCTGCGTATTGAGCTTGACCAATCAGAGTTAAAACAGCAACAGCTCCAGGAGAAAATCCAACTGCTCACCGATGAAGCAGCTGATCTGAGGGTTGTTATCAAAGACCTGCAGGAACAGCTCTTGGCTAAAGGTTCCGATCAAGAGAAAGCAGGAGAACAGCAGCAGGAGGTGGTGAAAGCTGTCAGAGAGTGCACTGACCGTCTCAGTACCACCACACAGGGGCTGGAGGCTCTGAGGACTTCAGAACGCAACCTCGAAGCCAAGCTGAGTGTTGCAGAGAACTGGAATATGGAGCTGCTGGCAAAACTTGACGGAGCTTTAAGTGAAAAAGGACAGCAGGCTGCAAACTACTGTGATTCAGCTTGGAAGATACAGGAACTCCTGACCAAGCTTAAGGAGGCAGAGCAGGAGAGGATTGAGGCTAAACGAGAAAGCGAAGACCGGGCTAGAATTGCTGAGAGACTTTCTCAGGAGATAAAGCTTCAGGAGGGGAAACTCAAAGAGATGGAAGGCAATCTGGACATGTGTAGAGTCACAGCTGATAAAGAACGAACAACTGCAACGCAACAGGCTGATGAGCTGCAGATGACCATTAACCGCCTACAGGGAGCGTTATCCCTGAAGGAAAGAGAAACAGGGAACCTGCGAACTCAACTTCAAGATGTGCAGAAAGCACTGGAAGCCCAGCAGGATCAAATGGAGGAGCACATGAAAAAGATCCAAGAGGAGATGCAACGTAAAAGTCTACTTGAAGAGCAGCTGAATGCAAAGATGAATGAGTTGTCTGTTAGTACCCAAAAGATGCGCCAACTAGAGAACCACAACCAGCGGTTGATTGTGGAGAGTCAGAGCTTCCAAGCACAAGCCAAGAAACTGGAAGAGTACAAAAGCCAGTGCACAAGTCTAATGGAGATCAATGCCAAGCTGATCCAGACTGTCAAAAGGAACGAAGACAGCAGCAAGGAGTTGTCAGAAATCAAGACCACTCTAGAGAAAGAACTAAAAACCTCACAGGCTTCAGAGAGGCAACTGAGAACCAGACTCGAGTCAGCTGGACTGACAGTGGAGAGCCAAAATCTTGAGGAGTGCATCGAGAATGGCCAGACGGACAATAAAGATGTGTTGGAAAAACTCAACGAGAGTACTACAGCCCCACAGAAGAACAAGAGGACAACTTCTGGACTCCTACAAGAAGCCAACGAATACTCAAAAACTGATCATGTAGAATCTACGACCAGGTTGGCTCTGGCTGAGGCCCAACTTGAACTCAACATGAAGGAGGTTTCCAGACTTCAGGATGAAGTCCTGGAGCTCCGGGCACAACTATTGGTGATCTCAGAGGAGAGGATGAAAATCCAGGCATTGCAGGAAGTGACAGAAGCCTCTAGAGAAGATCTCCGAGCTCAGACAGAGCAACTGAAGTCCCAAGTGGAGGAGCTAAACAGAAGGCATGTTGAGGAGCTGCTACGTTGCCATGAAAGAGAGGAGACTTTGGGAAAAGAGAGAGATATGGAGGCCAAGATGCGTGCCGAAATCCAAACTAGCATGACTTCAATGAAGGAAGAGTGTCATGCTTTGAAGAAGCACAACAGCACACTTGCACTTGAGAATGGAGAGGCTCGTGAAGCCTTGCACAGGGCCAACACTGAGACAGCAGAGCTCGGGGTTCATGTTTGCATGCTAACAGGGCAGAACGAGGAAGCTAAGCTACGATGGGAAGAGCTTTCGAACAAACTGCAGGAGCTGCAGATGGAGGCACAGGAAGAGGTGAAAACTTTAAGTGATTCGATGGAAAGCTTGAGGAAAGATAACGCAGGACTCAAAGAGCAGGTAAAGCAGATGGAGGGACTCCAAGAAGCCCTGCAGAAGTTGCAGGAGAAACTGGAACAGGCAGAAGACGAAGCCAGAAGTCTCCAGGAGATCCGACAGAGGGAAGTGGACACACTTAGGTCCCAGTTGAGCGATGAGGCCGCGCACCATCAAAGTCAAGTCCAGGTAATTACTCTCAACATTGCTCAAGGATTTAGCTTTGTCCTATTTTGTTCAGTTCATGAATATATGATTATACGTGTATTTCTGAAGGGTATGAGTGAGGATATGGATGCACTGAGAAAAAGGCTGGACATTGAAGTTGAAAAAGTTTCAAGTCTTGAGGCCAAAGTATTGGAGCTTGAGGTAAGCCCATGTGCATTACTTGAGAAATCTGGAAATCTGTCATCATTTACTCACTCATTACTTGATCCAAACCTGTTTGATTTTTTTTCTGTTGAACACAAAAGAAGATATATTTCGATGTTTAACCTATAACTATTGACTTTCATAATTCTATGGATGGCAATAGTTAACCAGTTTCAGCCTTCTTCAAAATATCTTCTTTTGTGTTCAGCAGAATAAAGAAACTCATAAAGATTTGGAATTGGAATGGCTAAATAATCTAATTTAAGTTGCAAACCTTTGATTAATCAAAAGCTGTGTTTATCATGCACATCTTATTAGGGGAATATGGCTCTCGGATTAAGAGTAAATCCTCCGAAGGCCAGAGGGCGATCTTGTGCGGAAACTCCAAAGAAGTAGAAACTCCTATTGGAAATCCATATAGTGGTGACTAAATGGGATATATTTAACAACTTCACTGTGAATAATCATCACACTACTACAGAATTTTCTCACTGAAGGATTTATTTCAAACACTTAACTGAAGTTGTGAAGTGAGTTTGGAAAAAAAATCATTGTGATCATATTAGTTATTTTTCACATGCTATCTGATGCAGCACCATTTACCACACATCTGAATTTAACTGAGAATCTACTCCAGGGGTGCTCAACCCTGCCCCGGAGATCTTCCAGGAGACCTTCCTGCAGAGTTTAGCTCCAACCCTGATCAAACGCAACTAAACCAACTAAATAAGATCTGAAGGACCGCTAGGTAATTAAAGGCAGGTGTGTTTGATCAAGGTTGCTGTTAAGCTCTGCAGGAAGGTAGATCTCCAGGAACAGGGTTGAGCACCCCTGATCTACGCAAACAGCTACTGTATCATTATAACAGATCTCGATTTCACAACGTTCAGATTTTTTGCAGTTTAATAGTGAACAACGGCTCTGTGTTCCGTCTGAGAGCATGTGCTGGAGAGTTTCTAGTGCTGGCTTTATTGACATAATGTACATGACAATCACTTCCGATTAATTGCACAGCCCTAGTTTGGAAGCACTTGTGAGTAAATTACCATTTATGTGTGAACCCTCCCTTTAAATTGTCAATCGCAAACTATTGAATTGAAGAGATTGCTTTAGTCTTTGCAACTGTACAGCCTACTGAAAAAGGACATTAATGAGCGATGTGCTTTTGCATGCCACTGTGCTTTCTTTCAATAGTTTTTTTTTATGAAAATGTGCTCAGTGAATGTCTACTTACATCTCTTCATCTCAAGCCTGAGCACAATATGTTGTAAAAGAGGTTCAACTTGTAAAATGGCGTAACTGTATTTACAGTACATTCTTAAATGGAAAGTTGATCCGAAAATGAACATTTCTTCACCATTTAACTGCACTCATGTGGTTCTAGACTTTTAGGAATTAATGTTTTCTGTTGAAAAACAAAACGAGAGACTGTGTTCTGAAGCATGTTGGAAACCAGCAGCTATTCACTTTCATAGTATGAACAAAGAATATATAGTTTGTAAGTCAATGGCTGTTTTTACCAACACTCTTGAGTATACATTTACCTGTGCTCAACAGAAGAAAAAAATCAAACAGGTTTGGTAGATGAGTCAACGATGATATTTTTTTTGGGTGAACTATCCATTTAAAATGCAATTAAACAAAAGTAGCATCACATCTTCAGTATATTGATGTATATTCTGATGTAACAGACTTGATACGATTTGTTGACTATATCCATTTTTGATGACCTGCTTAGATTTTTAAAAGTAACCAAAACAAGCCATGTGTGTTTAAAACATACAACCTAAAGTAAATGTACTGACCCAAGAAAGCTTAGGCCGAAAAAAGGAACTGAATCCAACACTATTCTGTCACAGACAGAATGTTAATATTTTGCTTTTGTACCATCCTCAAAGTTTAGCATAACATTGGGTTTAATGCAGAGAATAATTAGAAGAGCATTCGAGCTTTAGTGGAGTATTTAACATTGTTTGTCACTGTTGTTTTTTAAGTGACGAGTGACTGGTTCTGACTGGAATATCCAGTCTGCTTACATTGCAGATGCAAATGCTCATGTTCAACAATTCATATTTACAATGGGGGGAAATGTATTGAACATGTCATGTTTTTTCCTGGGAATAATATTTCTAATGGAGCTGTTGACATGGAATTCAACCAGATTTTGGTAAAAACAAAAAAGGAATGTCCAGAACTACTGAAATGTATTTAATACTTCATATAAAAGGCTGTTTTGGTAATGGCAGCTTAAAGACGCCTCTCATATGGAGAATGAAGTCACATGCATTGCTCAGGTGTGAGTTTTTCACAGACTTCAACAAAGTGTAAAAATCTTGATGCTTCTGTGGGTCTCGTTTATCAAATCTGAGCTTTATTTTGTATTTTCTATTGGATTTGAGTCAGGTGATGGGCTGGGCCATTCTACAGCTTGATTTTCTTTCTCTGAAGCATTCGAGAGTTTCCTTGGCTGTTTTTAGGATCAGTATCTATGTTTCCATCCAAAAATGCAAATTAACTTTATGCACATAATTATAGCAAAAAAAATGTGCGAATAAAGCAGCGCTTTCATCCAACGAGTCAAAGAGAACAAAATCAAAACTTCCTGATTAACTGGCTTCAAATTATAATAGCTAAAATGTGAATCTTTTTTTCATTTAATAAATGACTTGCTCCCTAGAAGGCAGGCTCCTCTTAACATGCAGTAAATGCACGGTGGTGTTTTAAGGCGTGAGACACACAGAACAGACGCGTTTGATTCTGAAGGCAATTAATAATATAATAACACTAACACTAATACTGAAACGGTAAAGGCATTTTAGCATGACCAAAACAACATTTTAGGTGTTTTGCAACGGACAAACCAGCAGATTGAGCACATTCACATGCATTTTTTTATCACATGATCTCTTATACCAAAATCACATGACTGTTTTTAATGCGCATACTGGAATTTGTTCAGTAAAAGTGTTTCTATCGTAGTCCATGCACATCGTTTCCTATCAAATAAAAAGTTTATACGTCTCAGTTATGCACATGCATTTTTTTATGCACATTTTCAAACATTTTGCGCATCTTGACGTTTCCATCAACTGATTTTTTTATGTGCATATCCAAAATGTGCATAAAAATCGATGGATGGCAACTACTGAAATGTCCACCCTGGTTTTATCTTCATCATCCTGCTAATGTAGATGTTAGACTGAGGAGGGGCAGAGGGTTGCTGAAGAACTACTGAGAGATTTCAGTTGCTGTCTGGTCTTTCAGTGTTTTTCTACACCTCATTCTCTTCTTTCATGTGTTTAATACTTTATTTCTGTGTCATTTTATTTTGTTACAAATATCTTCATTTGTAAACGAATTAGATTTGTTTTCTTTTCATATACAGTATGTATGTCCCTGGTTGTTATTAACATCTGGTTAAAATTTCAAGTTAACAGCACCTTTAGAAATATGTTTTCTGAGAAAAATGGTGACGTGTTCAATACTTATTTTCAGCTGTATGTTTATTTACAGATATGATTGTGGTCTGAAACTAATTTAAAATGCCAGAATTCATGTGCTCTTTTCATGCTTGCACGTTTGTGGCTCTGTGGCACGTGGAAGGAAAAAAAAACAAACAGAATTTGGTTCTTTTTTTTTTTTTTAACTCTGTGGCCTAAATGATTAGAGAAGTCTGACATACCATAATGTATTTTGCAACAGAAGTCTGCAATTTCACAGGATAGTCCATTATCTGACAGTTTGATTACAGTTTGATATATTTACAAAAAGATCTGTAGCAAAATGTTTGAATGCCAACTTTAAATGCAAGCATGTATTGTGTGTGGAACCCTTATTATGCTTGTTTTAAAATGCTGTTAATAATGTTAACTGCTTGGTTTGCAACTTAGAGTTCAGTCCTACAGTGATTGTTTTTTCGACCAGATTTTTTTTAAAATATCAAAATATTAAAGCATAATTTTGTTTTCACAGTCTCTAAACAGTGGGCACAGTCAGATGATCGAAAAGACTACTGCTCTCATTGGTGACTCCGAAACCATAATTTATCAGAAAGAGGAACAGATTAAAAACCTCAAAGTGGACTTGTCGAGGTAGGAGATTTCTGTACTGCTTTTCAGGTAGTTCATACGTTTATGATTTAAACAAAGCAATCAACACTTTCACAATCCTCCGGTCGCTTTAAACACTTTCTGACCTGATCCTTGTTTATAACAGAGCCGAGAAGGAACTGGCTCTCGCTCAGCAGTCCTGTCAAGAACTGGGTGTGAATTTAAGCAGAAGTGCAATGGAGAAGCAAGCCGTCGAACTGAAGATGTCTGCTGAACTAGATGACCTTTACCGTACCAAAAAAAACCTGGAGGAGAGGCTCATTGAGCTCATAAGGTGACTTGTGTAGTTATATATAAAAGCCCTGGGTATACTTCAAATGAAATCGAAAAAAGAACTGAAATGACGTCATTTCAAACTAAATCCAGCTAAAATGACGTTATTTTGGTATTCATTTCGGCAACTCAAAACTTTTTGAGGAATTGCGTTTTGACTCCAAAACATCTATGAGCTACCATTGGTTTGTTGCGTTTATGCAATTGGTAGGTATGTTCTGGAACTCCGCCTACTTTAGCGTGCATTTGCTTCCGCCCCCCAATTCGTTTCCTAATCTAGTTCAGAAAGGAGAACAAGTTCAACATGGACAAACATAAGGCTGCGTCTACATTAATCCAGATAAATTTGAAAATGGTGTTTTCATCTAAGAAGTCATCATTTCCTAGCTATTATTTTGAATTATTTTCGTCATCCACACTAAAATGACTGAAAATGCTTTCGTTCATTCACTGTGTATGCGAACAGATGCTTTTAACGGTGTCATATCCGCCTGCTGTTTATTTACTTCGTCACATGTCTGCAACTTAACAGCATCTTTTAGTAAACATTTTGTTTCCCACATGTCTTTGACATTAATCTTTAATAAAGCTGTCAAAACGGACAGCATTTAAAACCTCTGCGTTAAGGCTGATTTATACTTCTGCGTCGAGCACATGCGTAAGGTCCATCGCAGCCTTCACGCAGTCGCATAGCCCTCACGTGGCTGACACGCACCGCTCTAAAAATTCAACTACACATCGCAACGATGCATAGCAAAAGCTCTGTGATTGGTCGGCTTGGTAGTGGTGGCGAGTATGGGCGGTGCTGAGAACTCTGATGGAACGATTGGTACGTGTGTAGGATGAGCAGATGTTGACTTTTGTTTTGTGTTTACCTTATGATTAAAGATTTTGCACGTCCGCCAGTTTCCGTCTCCGAATGAGCAAGATTGAGCTACTTGTAGCGTTCAGGAAAAAAAAAAAACGCTAAAAATACTTGACACAGAGGAACATAAAGACTTACGGCCAGCTATCGTTTGGGAAGTGTTATTGCAGAGCAACACAAACAGCGCGCAGAAGTATAAATGCGCAGGGCAGGCACCATGGGTCATGATTAGCACTTGACGCAGAAGTATGAATCAGCCTTTACAATGTCGTCCACCATGTTAGCTGAATTGTTCACATGATTAAAATGCGTCATCATTTTCGAAAGTTTTCACAGTCTGTTTTCGGCCCTTTAAATTCCTCCTATTTGGACTGCATTTTCAAAAAGATAGATTTTTGCTTACTAAAAATGTTGTCAGTGTTACTGGAAGGCCAAACTTGAGAGAAAAATGTGTTTTTAAACAAAACTTGGACATGGCCTTAGAGTCAAGGTAGCAGAGCAGTAGTTTATAGAGCAGAACAGATGTTTATAAAACCTTTTTTTTTCTCTCACAGCCGCCATTGTTGTTGTATTTAATAATAGACTGCTATACATAACACGCTACACATAACACAACCATATCACCCTGCAGCCCAAGACTAACCATTGACTTCTTTTCAGCTTTTTCCTAAATATCTTCTTTAGTGTTGAACAGAATAAAAAAAGTGAATAAATAGTTGGAACCACTGTGTATGTGTGTGTGTGTGTGTGTACATAAGTACATTTGCATTTTGGGTGAACTATCCCTTTAATAAATGCTATGCCAAGGGTTCCTAAACAGTTCAGCCCGCGACCCCCAAAATGACATTGCCAGTGACTCGTGACCCCCAATATCCTCTGAGGTGGTTATAAATACAGAAACCTTGCATGCAATTGCGCACACACAACAATAGACCCAAGTCTATTCCTTCTTTAATTTTTTTTTATATATGTCAGTGCTGTAAATGGGCCAGAAAGTTTAACCTGGTGTTATAAAATCAATCTGCTGCATCTGATGCTATTGCTGTGTCTTTAATATAATGTAATTACCCCTGGGGTTGCAATCTAATAGAATTAGTAACTATAAGCTACTATAGTAACTATATAGTAACTATATAGTATATAGTAACTATAACAACAAATATATTTTCATATAACAACATATATATTATATAATAGATTTTTTTTAAATCACCAGGCAACCCCCCCTTCATTGTCTCACGACCCCTCGGGGGCTTTGACCCCTACTTTGAGAACCACTGCTCTATACATTCTCTATCAAATAATGGTATAATCATGTATAGTATACTGTAAAGAATTTTTTTTCAAACTACGAATATTTGGATCACATATCAACAGAAACAGACATATATGTTCATAAACTGTAAATTTCTTGCACTCAAGATCTATATACTGCACCTGCACCCGTTTTTAAAACCCTCATGTTCCTGTCAGAGAGGCGTTCCACTGAATGTGTGATGACTTGTGAAAACTGTTAATGTGGTTTTGCTCATGTTTTTCTAACACATCTGACAGTATGTTCTCTGGAAACCAAAGAAATACATTTGAAAGTGCTTTATAATGCTAAAATGTTGCAAGCCTTTGATCATAGACCTCTGGCTCCCCCTGTAGGGAGAAAGATGCTTTGTGGCAGAAGTCTGACGCTCTGGAGTTTGAGCAGAAACGAAGAGCTGAGGAGCAGACAGACAGAGACGTCACACACTGCCTGAGCTGTAAGAGCCAGTTCAGCTGGATGCTGCGCAGATACAACTGCAGGTCAGGGGGAAATTTTTGCAGAAAGGGTCTGGTTTTGTTTTAGACACCTGTTGTAAATTATATTTTTCTAGCATTTGGTTCAGCGAAATGAAATGTAATAGTAAGTCAATTTTATTTATCAAGCACATGTGAATTAAGTTTACACCAGAGTTGGAATGTAATTAAGTACAAATACTTTGTTACTGTACTTAAGTAGATTTTTCTGGTATCAGTACTTTACTCCACTACTTATTTTTCTGACAACTTTTTACTTTTACTTCTTTCATTTTTACACAAATATCTGTACTTTCTACTCCTTACATTTTTGAATCAGGCTCGTTACTTTCGTTTTACTGTGTTTGGTGGCACAATCTAAATTATTTCTTGTCATTGAACAATTTGAGTGCCTTTTTATTTTCGTCAATACGCGCCTGCATGCTCCAGAGGGTGGCTTTTTTAACCAAGGCTATCACGCAACCTATGTAAGCTAGTTTGATGAAACTGCGTAGACGGCGAATTTAACATGACTGATGCTGTCCTGTTTACACAGTAATAAGACACATTTTGCTCGATCCGATCACAGGTGAACAAGAGAGACACATTCCAGTTCAAAAACATGCCATACAAATGCTTAAGGTTAAGAGTCCTTTGTCCATTTTTGATCATACTGCACTCTGGTCTTTCAGGCCTCTATTTTGATGATCCATGCGCAAAGTGCAAAGCGCAGGGCGCGAAAGCATTAAGGGCTCGTCAGAATCCACGTTTACTAGACAGAGCGTGTCAGTTGTGTGCCTCACTTCAACATTACTTAAGACATGCAGGATGTACAGCAATACAAAAATATCTTTACAGATGAAAAATAATTCAATTTAATTTCTAATTTAGAAAGTCCTTGAATTTGCAAACAGTCGGCAAGTCCCAAATAGTTTTTTTGCATGCTTGTTGAATTTAAATATTCATTTATTTGAAAGAAAAAAAAAATACTGATCACAAATTTTTGAACAATTTTATATTATCTGCATAATTTTTTTTTTTTCAGGTTTTGTGGACGTCCGTTTTGCTACAGTTGCTGCAGTTTTGGTGGTAAGGATCGCTGTTGTAAGAGCTGCTCGACTCACAGTGAGCGCCACCAACAGGCGGATCAGGGCAGTCCTTCACACTCAACCTACAGCCCAATATCAAGCCCTAATCAAACCAGCACTCCAGGTGTCCCATGTGAGTGCTAAAACAACATGCACACTGCAGAGGCAATTTGAGGTTTTGCAGACTGTTAAATCATTTTAAATGTCATAACGCTAGAACTATGGATTCTAGCGTTAATTTTGACATAATTTTGACTTTTTAAAAAAATTTAATTTATTACATTTGTTAAAACAAAATACATATAGCTACAATACCCTAACTTTTTCTACATGTGTATTAATTCTAAAAATTTGATTTTATTAAAATTGCAAAACACAAAATGTGTATTTCTACATTGAATAGCTATAATGGTAAAATTGACTGCATGGCATTCAGTGTCAGCTACTTTTTCCTGTTCCTTTGAATATGCATGTGTCTTTTGTGTGTGCACTTTCAATGGTTATATTATAGAGAAGATGGTATTTTTTGTTAATGACTTCATAAAATGTAATGATAGACATACAAGAGGTATTTTTTAAAATGACATTTACATTTGTTGCCATACTACTGAAAGCAGCAGCAGATTCACCTCAGATCTTAAAAATAAAATAAACCATTTAAAATTGAACTTCAGAACTGTGACTCAAAACCAACACATATCAGTGATTCAGCATATACATTTAATAATGTTAAAGAGGTTCAATATGTATTAATTAGATCATAATTATTAGATCATACTATTTGGTTGTGTAGTGAGTGCACTATTCTGTGCTTCTAAATGGCTGTATTTGAATGTTTCTGTTGTGTTTTGTCTGGCGCAAACAGCCAAATTGCTTATCACTGCAAATCTCATCACATAGCGTGTTTTTAGGACACAGGGTTACAATGTAACCTGATCACCTAAAGTATACATTCATAATTCATTCATTTTCTTTTCGGCTTAGTCCCTTTATTAATCTGGGGTCGCCACAGCAGAATGAACCGCCAACTTATCCAGCATATTTTTTATGCAGCGGATGCCCTTCCAGCTGCAACCCATCTCTGGGAAACATCCATACACACTTATTCACACTCATACACTATGAACAATTTAGCCTCCCCAATTCACCTTTACCGCATGTCTTTGGACTGTGGGGGAAACCGGAGCACCTGGAGGAAACCCACGCGAACGCAGGGAGAACATGCAAACTCCACACAGAAACACCAACTGACCCAGCCCAAGCTCAAACCAGCAACCTTCTTGCTTTGAGGCGACAGCACTACCTACTGCGCCACTGCGTCACCTGTATTCATAATATTCATATTATTTGCTAATTAATAACCTCATGTGGAACTCTGAATCTGCGTCTCATTTTGGTGTCTGCTACTGTCCACTGGAAGTCACATTTTGGTCACGGGCGCATGCTTTAAGAGCCTTTCTGAATGAATGAGTTAATGAATGAAATACGTTGTTTTTGATACACCTACATTACACACATACATTAAAATTGGCTTAACTGGCATTGGGCCGGTTAAAAGAAGCTAAACAAAGACAGCCGTTACGACACAGAAAACACATTTTCAAGTCAGAATATCTGACTTCAGCATTGTTTTTCAGATAAACAAGAATGTTCACTTAGCATGTTTCTTTAATATCTGCAAACATATTATATTTTTATACTTTTAGAAGAAACAAAAACCTGCATACAGCACCTTTAACTAACCTACTGTAATCAGCAAGACTTTTTGTTGTAGTTGTCTAAATACGTGAGGAATAAAGGCTCCGCCCTCTTCAGGAGACGGGCAGGAGCAGTGGTGCGTCTGCATGTAAAGGGACCAGGCCCGGCGCTACGGGGGGGCAAAGGGTGGCATTGCCCCCTCAGACAGAGTTTGTGCCCCCCCAGTTTTTATAAAGGATTGTTCACTCAAACTGAAAATTCTTTCTGTCATTAATTATTAACACTCCCGTCCTTCCAACCTTCAGAACACACATTTAAATATTTTAAAATATATGACATAGCAATTAAATTATGAAAATGGTGAGGTTAAAGCTAGTCCTATAGTCCAGAGATCCGGTCCCCGCGTCAGGTCTGGTGCGCCCGTAAATAGCCTTTAAAACGCGCACACGGCGATGGAGGCGCACTCAACTCACAAGGGAGAAAATGGGTGACATGATAGGAGCAGCTTAATTCATTACATGTTTTGGTTAACTAATTATTTAAACACAACTCTCTTGAGCTCTAAAAGGAAAAAACACATAAGAAATTTGCTGTTAAATTAATTTTAGCAGAGACGCAACTGCCAGTCATTTATTAGTTATTCGGGAAGATGTAGCCTAATAAAAATGTTTTAATAAAAATAAATAGTTTACTGCACAGTCCCACAGTAGGCTACACTATAAATAATATTTTAATTTATTTATTAATATTATTATTAATATTATTACAATTAAGCTAAAATTGACAAAACGCAGAACCCTTTGAATGTTTGCTTTCATTTTGCTGAAAAGTGCACTTTTACAGTTGCGTAGAGAAACATCCCATTATGCAACTGCAGTCAAGGTATACACATAATAAATGCATTTTGCGTTTAAAGATGATCGGCCTGCGAAGTCAAGTTTGCAGTGTTATAAATGGAATAGGTATAGTGCTTAAGTGGATTTACCGCGGATCAACCGAGAAATCTCGTGCGCTGCAGGTAGGCAGAATGATAATCTTTTAAAAGTATGTAACTTAGGCTATACTGCTATTTGCTCATGCAAAATTAAACAACATAAAATATATTGTAGATCTGTTTTAAGAGCTAAAATACAACATATCGAGTTTGTTTTGACTTAGCTCATGGCCCTAAAATGAAAATAACCTGAAAACAAGCTATTAAAAAAGGCCTAATAAATAAAATAATTAATAAATAAAATGACGGGTAGGCCTAGAAACTATGGTACATATGGTTTATGATGGTTTACAATATCACGAAAAAAGCACATTTATAATAGCCTTAGACAAATCTTTGTTTTTACATTTAAAATGATGAAAAAAAAGTTATATAGCATATAAAAATTTAACCAATTTTCACGGTAATAACTGTGAATTTTTGTATCTTTTTTAGGTATTTTTCTGGCTACACTAATGCCTTAAAATGTAACTAAGTAATTGTTTTGAATGACATTAGATTGTCACATTTAGCTTTTCCCCAACACTGATGTTGGTTGTGAAGCGTGATGACTCGGTTAAGCTGATTTCACTATATTTATTTACCGGTTAAATGAATAGTCTGATCGTGGGTCAGCTTGCATGTGTGGGCATAATTTGACGTCTTTACCTAAAACTTTAAACATTCATAGGGCTGTTATTTGAAATAAAACGGAAATAAGGAGAATAACATATGATTTAAAGCACTCGTTTGGCACTGAAGCCATCATCCGTCTGCATTAATAAGCGGTATGCATTACCATCGTTAATAAAATTCGTAATAGCGAAACTGCGTATTGTTATTACTATTAAAACGTAGCCTATATTACTGCCTTAGGTCAGTAACTTAGGCAGTAATGCAAAGTAATAATAAATGCGAATAAATAGCCTAAATGAAAGAAACAAGAGACCAAAATCAGTCACCAGGTCTAGTGCCCCCCTATGGATTTAAAGTGCCCCCTCAGTTTTGACTTCCTGGCGCCGGGCCTGAAAGGGACACACAAGAGTGTTTTTGCATTTTTTTTTTTTCTTCCAAACTTCACATACTTGTTCTAAGCACACCTGACATTTTGTGAACATTTAAAAAAAAAATTCTAATGTAAAATGCTAATTAATACTTCATGCACTTGTGCTTAGCATAACTAAGTACACCCTATTAAGAAAATTATTATTTTTATCTATTTCTCAGTGAATATAAGCAATGTATTTTGGTGCTTTTAAACTAAACTAGACTGCAGCTCCGCACAGGAAGTTTGGCCAAAATAATAAGGGTCGTGCCCAACAGAGCCTAGTTTCTCTCAAGGTTTTTTTCTTTCCCTTCTTCGTCAATTTCGTAGTTTTTTTCCACGCCACTGTCACCTCTAGCTTGCTTGGATTGGGACTTGTGGAGCTGCGCTTCAGTGGATTTGCTCTTCAGTGTTTGAACTTTCAGCAGTGAAATTTAAACCACACTGAACTAAACTAAACTGAACTTCAACTCTGAAATCTGAACTTTACTAAAACTATGTTAAGCTGCTTTGACACAATCTACATCAGTGGTTCTCAAAGTGGGGGTCGGGACCCCCTGGGGGTTGTGGGACAATGACAAGGGGTCGCTTGGTGATTTTATTTATTCATTTCATTTTCTTGTCAGCTTAGTCTCTTTTATTATTCTGGGGTCGCCACAGTGGAATAAACCGCCAACTTATCCAGCAAGTTTTTATGCAGCGGATGCCCTTCCAGCCGCTATCTCTGGGAAACATCCACACACACATTCACACACACACTCATACTCTAAGGACAATTTAGCCTAACCAATTCACCTGTACCGCATGTCTTTGGACTGTGAGGGAAACCGGAGCACCCGGAGGTAACATGCAAACTCCACTCAGAAATGCCAACTGAGCCGAGGCTCGACCCAGCGACCTTCTTGCTGTGAGGCGACAGCACTACCTACTGCGCCACTGCTTGGTGATTTCCAAAACTCAAATAAACTTTATTAAACTATTTGAATTACCATATTCTATTCATAATCCACAGAAGGTAGTTACTCGTTGCGTTAAAGAAACAACAACATACAAATAAAAATCAGCCATCAGCCTTTAATTTTTATATTAAAATGTAATTAAATTAATAAATTACTATTAAAAAACATTATATGGTTAATAGACTGTTGCATTTTTATGTTGTCAATTTGCTCATGTTTATATATGCCTTTAGTTGTGTGTGCAACATTTATGTATTTACAGTTTAATCACCTTGAAAAATGGAGGTCGCGAGTTAATGACATTGTTATTTTGGGGGTCGTGGGCTGAAAAATTTGGGAACCTCTGATCTACGTTGTTAAAAGCGCTATATAAAAAAACATGAATTGAATTGATTTAAATTTATTAAACAGATATATTTATTAAAATATTGTTTTAGTCACCTAACATATTTAGAAATTGAAAGATAAGACAATTAAATAAATTCAAGCATGATATTGCAATAAAAATGTACAACCTGCAAAATTTCAGCTAAATTTGTCAATTTTTATTAAATTTGTGCAACATTTATGTAGTTACAGTATAATCACCTTGAAAAATGGAGGTCGCGAGTCACTGACATTGTTATTTTGGGGGTCGCGGGCTGAAAAATTTGGGAACCCCTTGATTTACGTTGTTTAAAGCGCTTCATAAATAAACATGAATTGAATTAAAATGAATTTATTAGACAGATATATTTATTAAAATATTGTTTCAGTCACCAATTATATTTAGAAATTGAAAGATAATAAAATTAAATAAATTCCAGCAAGATATTGCAATAAAATTTACAACCTGCTAAATTTCAACTTAATTTGTCAACATTTATGTAGTTACAGTTTAATAATTGTTAAAAGCGCTATATAAATAAACATGAATTGAATTGGAATGAATTTATTAGACAGATATATTTATTAAAATACTGTTTCAGTCACCAATTATATTTAGAAATTGAAAGATAATAAAATTAAATAAATTCAAGCAAGATATTGCAATAAAATTTACAACCTACAAAATTTCAGCTAAATTTGTCAATTTTTATTCAATTTATGCAACATTTATGTAGTTACAGTTTAATAATTGTTAAAAGCGCTATATAAATAAACATGAATTGAATTGATTTAAATTTATTAAACAGATATATTTATTAAAATATTGTTTTAGTCACCTAACATATTTAGAAATTGAAAGATAAGACAATTAAATAAATTCAAGCATGATATTGCAATAAAAATGTACAACCTACAAAATTTCAGCTAAATTTGTCAATTTTTATTAAATTTGTGCAACATTTATGTAGTTACAGTATAATCACCTTGAAAAATGGAGGTCGCGAGTCACTGACATTGTTATTTTGGGGGTCGCGGGCTGAAAAATTTGGGAACCCCTTGATTTACGTTGTTTAAAGCGCTTCATAAATAAACATGAATTGAATTGGAATGAATTTATTAGACAGATATATTTATTAAAATACTGTTTCAGTCACCAATTATATTTAGAAATTGAAAGATAATAAAATTAAATAAATTCAAGCAAGATATTGCAATAAAATTTACAACCTACAAAATTTCAGCTAAATTTGTCAATTTTTATTCAATTTATGCAACATTTATGTAGTTACAGTTTAATAATTGTTAAAATCGCTATATAAATAAACATGAATTGAATTGAATTAAATTTATTAAACAGATATATTTATTAAAACATTATTTTAGTCACCCAACATATTTTGAAATTGAAAGATAATACAATGTAATTAAATTCAAGCAAGAAAAAATTACAACCTACAAAATTTCAGCTAAATTTGTCAAATTTTTTTGCTTCTCTTGACTTTTCCTCTTTTTAAAATTTGTATTGAATATTTTTCTCTCACATAAATTTGGGTGTACTAATCTTTGGACTTATCGTGAGTTATTTTGTTAGATAAGCTCCAGATTTGGCTTCAGTACCGACAAATCTAATGTAAATGCACAAATCTAATATTGTACAGCTTCCTATTAAAAATACGAGTTTAAAAGGCAGATTTGTGAGGGGTGTACTTGTACATGCTGAGCACTGTATTTCCATGTGTAATGTCTCTGTTCTTCTCAAAGGGATACTAAAGTCCCCTCGACCTGACGACATGGCGTATGACATCATCACAGAAGATGAAGTGAACCACGTTCATGACAGCGACTCGTCATCCTACACCACTGCGCTTTCACCAGAGACACAACAGCTGTGAGACTCATACACACACACTCACCAACACACTCGCATACACACACACCTGTCTTGTTAAACGCAGCACACTGAATTCATGCTAAAGTAACAGACACAATTAAATAAGCTCCTGCTGAGTTAAACTCTGTTTCATTATTGGATTTATTTGTATTCATCAGAGCAAATTGGACGTGAACACATGGTGCTTGTCAGTGTATCTCAGTGTATAAACATAAAAGTGAATCTAGTTGACTTTGTTTAGCCAACTGCTTCTCTGATTCTTTTTTCTGTAATGAAGTTTGTGTGTGACGAGGAATAGAATGTAAACGCATGCATGTCTGCAGAAGCAGCAGTGATGTCACCAGCACAGAAGATTCAGACGAGCTGATTGGCTCCGTTCAGGATTCAGAGATCTGCCTGCTGAAATCTGGAGAAAGGACGTGAGTGAGACAGACATTGCTAATGATGGGTCCTGATGCCCTTCTGATTTTTCTATCCAATTCAATTCATGTTTATTTGTATACCGCTTTTCACAATAACTATCAAAGGTGCAGCTTTTACATTACAATCAAAATCACACTCAAAAAATTGTTTTGCTGCTTATTCAGACTACATATTTATTTTTCTTCGGCGTAGTCCTTTTATTAATTTGGGTCGCCACAGTGGAATGAACTGCAACCTTATCCAGCATATGTTTTACACGACGGATGCCCGCCCAGCCACAACCCAGCACTTGGAAACATCCATACACACTCATTCACACACATACACTACGCCCAATTTAGTTTCTTCCGTAGCACTTGAAGGAAACCCACGCCAACACGGGGAGAACGTGCAAATTCCACACAGAAATGCCAACTGACCCAGCCGAGACTGGAACCAGCGACCTTCTTGCTGTGAGGCGACAGTGCTAACCACTGAGCCACTGTGCCGCCCTACTAGATATATAAAATGAGCTAAAACAACATAATTCTTGAGATTCTTTGGGATGACTTTATTGCTTTATGTTCAATCCACTTAAATTTGTAAAAACAATGAAGTCAACTCAATCGATTCGTGTTGGGACAACGTTTTTGATATGTATGGGTTTCTTGCGGGTGCTCTGGTTTCCCCAACAGACATGCAGTATAAGTGACTTTAATAAACTTAATGTGTGTGTGTGAATGTGAGTGTATGGGTGTTTCCTAGTACTGGGATTCAGCTGGAAGGCCATCCACTGTGTTAAACATATACTGGATAAGTTGTTGGTTCATTCCACTGTGGCGACCCCTAATTATTAAGGGACTAAGCTGAAGGAAAATGAATGAATAAATGTTAATATGAAGTTTATGGTATTATCGTATTATTCATGCAAATAACCTATGTCAGTGTTCCCATGATCAATAGTGTTAATGTTAGTGTTGTTTTTCACAGGCTGTCTGTGCCATTCAGTGTGGATGACGTGATGCATTTTGGCTGTAAATCCAAAGAGCTGTTCATCAAGTCCAGCTGTTACAGTGTAATTCTCATAAGCGCTGCACATCCGGGCCCTTCGATCGGCTGGACCTTCTTCTCTGAACCCAAGAGCATCGCCTTCAGCGTGGTCTACAGAGAGACCACAGATACGCCTCTAGAACAGGCCAAGGTAACATTCAGACATAAATCAGCATTATTTAGTATAATGTGTGCTTTTCATGATGTTTTCATCCACTCTGGGGTGATTTCTTAATTCGGCCACAGCTTTCTCTGCGTTTCGTCAAATGGAATGATTTTGGTGACAAATCTCATTTTATTCACTCCTGTGAAATGTTTATTCTTCATATATATATATATATATATATATATATATATATATATATATATATATATATATATATATATATATACATACACACATACATATACATATATATATATATATATATATATATATATATATATATATATATATATATATATATATATATATATATATATATATATATATAAATATATATATATATATATATATATATATATATATATATATATATATATATATATATATATATATATATATATATATATATATATTTATATA